GTCTTGGCCATATCACATCACAACATGCCCTGCAAAAACAAGTTAGACGTCCTTTACTTTGTTGTTGCAATTTTTACGTGGCTGCTACGGGCTGAGCAAGAACCATTCTTACCTACGCATCAAAACCACAACGATAGTTTGTCAAGTTGGTGCTGTTTTAACCTTCGCAAGGACCGGGCGTAGCCACACTTGGTTCAACTAAAGTTGGAGAAACTGACAACCGCTAGTCACCTGTGTGCAAAGCACGGCGGTAAAACCAATCTCGCGTAAGCGTACGCGTAATGTCGGTCCGGGCCGCTTCATCCAACAATACCACCGAACCAAAGTACGACATGCTGGTAAGCAGTATGACTTGTATCGCCCACAACTCACTTGTGTTCTACTCGTGCATATAACATCAACGCATAAAACCTAGGCTCGGATGCCACTATTGGGAAACGTAGTAATTTCAAAAAAAAAATCCTACGCATACGCAAGATCATGGTGATGGCATAGCAACGAGGGGGAAGAGTATTGTCTACGTACCCTCGTAGACCGTTAAGCGGAAGCGTTATGACAACACGGTTGATGTAGTCGTACGTCTTCACAAATCAACCGATCCAAGCACCGAAGTACGGCACCTCTGTGTTCAGCACACGTTCAGCTCGATGACGTTCCCCGGGCTCCAATCCAGCTAAGCGTCGGGGATGAGTTCCGTCAGCACGACGGTGTGGTGACGATGATGATGTTCTACCGGCACAGGGCTTCGCCTAAACTCCGCGACGATATGACCGAAGTGGAATATGGTGGAGGGGGGCACCGCACACGGCTAAGGAACGATCCGTAGATCAACTTGTGTGTCCATGGGGTGCCCCCTGCCCCCGTATATAAAGGAGTGGAGGAGGGGAGGGCAGGCCCTCTCTATGGCGCGCCCTAGGGGAGTCCTACTCCCACCGGGAGTAGGATTCCCTCTTTCCTAGTCCAACTAGGAGTCCTTCCATGTAGTAGGAGTAGGAGACAAGGAAGGGGAAGAGAGAAGGGAAGGAAGGAGGGATTGCGGCCCCTCCCCCTAGTCCAATTCGGACTAGGCCATGGGGGGCGCGCGGCCTGCCCTAGGCAGCCCCTCTCTCTTTCCCGTATGGCCCAATAAGGCCCAATACTTCTCCCCGGCGAATTCCCGTAACTCTCCGGTACTCCGATAAATACCCGAATCACTCGGAACCTTTCCGAACTCCGAATATAGTCGTCCAATATATTGATCTTTACGTCTCGACCATTTCGAGACTCCTCGTCATGTCCCCGATCTCATTCGGGACTCCGAACTCCTTCGGTACATCAAAACTTATAAACTCATAATAAAACTGTCATCGTAACGTTAAGCGTGCGGACCCTACGGGTTCGAGAACTATGTAGACATGACCTAGAACTATTCTCGGTCAATAACCAATATCGGAACCTGGATGCCTATACTGGTTCCTACATATTCTACGAAGATCTTTATCGGTCAAACCGCATAACAACATACGTTGTTCCCTTTGTCATCGGTATGTTACTTGCCCGAGATTTGATCGTCGGTATCCAATACCTAGTTCAATCTCGTTACCGGCAAGTCTCTTTACTCGTTTCGTAATGCATCATCCCGTAACCAACTCATTTGGTCACATTGCTTGCAAGGCTTATAATGATGTGCATTACCGAGAGGGCCCAGAGATACCTCTCCGACAATCAGAGTGACAAAACCTAATCTCGAAATACGCCAACTCAACATGTACCTTCGGAGACACCTGTAGTACTCCTTTATAATCACCCAGTTACGTTGTGACATTTGGTAGTACCCAAAGTGTTCCTCCGGTAAACGGGAGTTGCATAATTCTCATAGTTACAGGAACATGTATAAGTCATGAAGAAAGCAATAGCAATATACTAAACGATCAAGTGCTAGGCTAACGGAATGGGTCATGTCAATCACATCATTCTCCTAATGATGTGATCCCATTAATCAAATGACAACACATGTCTATGGTTAGGAAACATAACCATCTTTGATTAATGAGCTAGTCAAGTAGAGGCATACTAGTGACTATATGTTTGTCTATGTATTCACACATGTATCATGTTTCCGGTTAATACAATTCTAGCATGAATAATAAACATTTATCATGAAATAAGGAAATAAATAATAACTTTATTATTGCCTCTAGGGCATATTTCCTTCAACACCAAGTTCTAATCCGCCGCATATGCAAACGATTTACTGACTATTAAACAATTATTGGTTCACCTTGGTGTGCTATCTATCGGTCATGCTCTCCAAAAAGTATATAATCAAACGATTTACTGACTATTAAACAATTCTTGGTTCACCTTGCTGTGCTATCTATCGATCATGATTTCCAAAAAGTATATAACCGCCAAGGAAAACAACAGCATATCTATATTGCATAATAGCTTTAACATGTGACAAGGTCAACAAGCACAAAGAAGAAAAACCATGAAACCGAAAAGATGAGACCACCCAAAGAAGGAATAAAAATAAAAATAAATGAAGGAGAGCAATATGATATCTCCTTGGTAGCGCAGGTAGAACACTACCAAGCATATCTGCCTCCAGTGGCGAAAGGCCAAAAAAAATGAAGGAGAGCAATATGATATCTCCTACGTAGCTCAGATAGAGCACTACCAAGCATATTTCCCTCCATTGGCAGGGCCACCAGTGCCTCGGAGAGCCACCGCTTGGGCAACAACGTCATGGCGATCATCTAGGATCATTGCACACAGAAGCATAGAGAATCCAAGCAATGCTGCTAGCAGCCCAGCTATGAGAACTAGGATCAACTCTGAGATCACGTCCTCCATTGGGGGCCTCCTCTCGATCTTTTGTCACCGGAGGAAAAAAAAGGTGAAAATTAGGGAGAAGGAATGAGGCACGTTGTGGGGATGGAGAAAGAGAAAAGAGTATGTGGTTATTTTTATAGCTCGAACTTGGTGTACGATGGGCGAAGTTCCCCAGCACCGCTCGCCGCTCGATCGTCGGTGTTCAGGAGGCGAATCTACGAGCAGTGCCAAAAAGGTACTGGTCCGTGAGGTGACTACTCGCTGCATCGATAGCGAGCACGCCCCACACTTCCACGGTACTGCCCTAGATGCTCTACGCGCTAGATGGCGCAAGTGGGAGATGTGCGGGAAAGCGCGCGAGGGAGAAGTAGATGAGACCTGGTGAATAAGTTCATCGCCCCTTGAAATCTGAAATTTATTTACAGTCAGCATTAAAAAGACTTGTGCCTGACCCGATTCTTTTCTGAACTTTATTATGTGAGATTGTTATACCTATTTATACTAAACTTTAATATTTATTTGTATGTATTTTGCCAAATCACGATCATAGATATCATATTGTGGGCAATTCAAATTGTTTTTGTAATAAAATTTGTTTTTTAAATATACATCTTAAAACATATTTAAACCGAACCCACTTAAATGCGAGAAAATAAGAAACGGGAAAATCCATGTTTACTTGGATTATATGGTGACAGTGCTTTAATGGTGTATTTGTATAGTATATGGCATACAAAATATCTTCATAGTGGTGTCTTCATAATTACGTATACATAAATAGAAAGATGTAGAGCGTACAAGATGTTTAGGAGGAAGATTCACTCCAATTTTTAGATCATTTGAACGTCTGAGCAGCTCTCAGCAAAACAAGACAAATCGAATCAGAACGGTGCATAGTAATAAGTTTTTCGGTGCTCGATCGTCGGTGCTCATAGGCGAATCTGCAAGCATTGCCAAAAAGATGTCAGTCTGTGAGGTGAGTGCTCCCTGCGCGTAGCACGTCTTGCGCTATCGCGGTACTGCTCTAGATGCTCTACATGCTACATGCGACGAGTGGAGGACTTGTGGGAAAGTTCGCGAGAGAGAAGTAGATGAGGGCTGGTGAAAACTTGTGATTGACCCAATTCTTTTATGAATTTTGACATGTGTAATTGTTATAGGTATGTATCTTTCTGATTTATGAGTTGATCATCGGAGGGGGCGGTGCGTAGTAATAGGTTTTCCGGTGCTCGATCATCGGTGTTCAGCAGGCGAACCTATGAGAAATGCAGCGAAGACGCCTCACACTCCCGTGGTACTGCCTTAGATGCTCTATGCGTTAGACGCCACAAGTGGGGGACCTGCTGAAAGTGTGCCACAAAAAAGAGAGATCAGACACGAGAAAGAAGAAGCGACTGACAGTAAGTCTTGGGTCCACCCTATCAGCCCAAAGGAGAGCTGCTCAGTGGAGCGTAGCAACCAAAGATTTAGAATCTGAAAAAAATCGCTCTTTAGTTACCCTGTGCGATTGCTGCAACCCAAGATTGCTCTCTAATTAACGTATTACAAATGAAGTGAATGCACAAAATAAACCAGGATGTACAATATAAGATGTAGACGGGCACGGCGTGCCGCCACGCAAGGTTCACTAGTCAATAACGATGGATGAGAGGTTAACGAGGTCCAGGAGAGAAGATATGCCAAATATGATGACACTGCAAGAGGAGGAAGAGGAAGGAGAAGGAATCAACAGATGTGGGAAAGATTAGCACAAACACAACACGAAAAAGCCTTTGTATGTGTGCGATTTTCGTACGACGCTATACGTCCAGCCATCCATGCATAGCATAAAGTGCAGCACATCCGTCGGATTTTCAATCATATCAGGATCGTACATGAAGGGGCTGTTTGGTTTGTGACAAACTTTGTCGGATTTTCAATCGTATCAGGATCATACATTAAGTGTCGGATGTGCGGTAGTTCCATTCCTTTATATCTGTTCTCTTTCGGTGAGTTTCTATATTGAATATAGTGGGGAACAACACATATCGTTAAACATGCAACTGAAGTTCGCCATATTACAGGAAAAATGACTTTGATATTACTTGGCAGAGGCAGATCCCGAAGAACAAAACTATACCGGCCCCAATTACACAAATCAATTATACACCTGATGGCAAATACTCACGCAACTTAAACTCCATCTCTCAAGTCAAGAATACCAAAACGAAAAGGATGATGAAAAGAACCACCAAGAAAGCTATCATCATGATCTGCCCTTTCAAGCTGGCCTTCTTCAGAACCATAGCCACTCTTTTCTGCAAATCAAAAACAGGGGAGAAGTTTCAGTCCGTTGGAATCCAGAAGAAAGAAACTACTAGGTGATATATATTATTTGTGCTTGCTGCAGTAATATGTTCCAAAAACATGCGAGGAACTCCTGGGCTACACTAAAAGATACAAGGCATACCTGCACAAAATCGAGCCGGTTGGAGGTAGTTTCCATGTCGAGGCTTAGTTCACCTAGAAGTTTTTCCTGATGAACGTAAAAAAAGGAGATAAGTACCAAAGCGAGAAAGACACGACATCTTATGGCACAATATAGTTAACCGGGCTCTTCATGTATATAGGAAAAGAAATCAACCAACAAAGGAAATCTAAATCAACCTATATTTCTTAATGTTAGTGAATACCTGTCCAACAAGCTCTTCGTGTATTGTGAGACCTACACCTCCAATTCGCTGGACACTAGCACTAAGCGCATCCAACTCATCATCCTGACGCCTGTTGCAGAAGTGTAACCCTTTATCAATGGTAGTTTAAGAGCAGAGCATATAAGTACAAAAAAACTAGAATTATCCTGGAGGTAGCATTACGTAAAATGCAGAGCTTCTACTTACAACATCATGATTCTGTGAGGAAAAAGTTCAATTCATCTTTAAGTCTTAGGTTCTTATCTTTAAGTCTTAATTTCTTCGTTCTCAATAGGTATACGGGCAAACATAAATCTTACGAGACAAGCTAAGTTTGTATAGAAGTTACTTCATCAGGAGCATCTGTTGATCAGATTCTGAAGCAATGAAGTCATCGTTATCCTGAGAAATGTGCTGCTTGGATCTGCCTAGTTCGGAAGGATTGACCGAACGTCCAAAGGCAGTCTTGTGCTTTCCAGCTTCAACATTCCTCCGTATTGATACCACCTAGAACATTTTCAAGTTCGTTACATACTATATCATACTCAATTTGCTACTGAACTTCGGGTTGTAGCTTAATCATTCATGTTAGCAGCAACATTGGCAAATATTCTGTAATAACATACCTGGTTGCGGGCGGTGCTAGTCCAGTTCCTCCGTTTCCCAATTTCAACCTCGTTTAGTCCATAGTAAGCTGGATCTCTCTCAGCAACAGAAATTGCCTTCTCTAACTCATCCACCTTAATTGCAACATTAAAGGCAGAAAACAGCTCAGAAATGGAACACGGTAAATACGGCAAAAGGATGAGCACATGATTTGTACAACGACCAGCTCTTAACCTTATCAATACGATATCATTGCCCCAAATACGACAAATACAATAAGAATATTCCTAAGATGGATTCAGTGCATCCTGGACGGAGGATTAGAATCTTGCTATAGATATGGTTGTAAGCTAGTGTACCTGCCATTGGACGCTCTCACAGGTGGTTAGCAGTTCTCTGGTAAGATGCACATACTCTCCTGTATTTTCAGGTGCTTGCTTCCATTGATTAAAAGTATCTTGTACTTTGTCAATCTGTACAACAATTGGGCAAGGAAACTAGTTGTTATAGACATCATCAAAGAAAAAGAAAGGGGCTGGTTCTAGGAATTCTTAAGAACCATTTTACATGAAGGGAACGGAATACAACATTGTCAACAAAAATTTCAAAACCCAATGGACAAACAACTCTGGATGTATGCATATATATGCAGCGATCAGACATCATAGACAAGCTTCTGTGCAGGACACCAATCATGCACAAGATGCACGTAAACTAAGCAGCAGGTAGCACACACCCAAAATGTTTGGTTCTCCATCTCAGAATTACACCGTCAATATTCACTAAGTCCTGCAATGGATCCAAAGCTGTAAACGCATGCACCTGGGATCCGAACCCACAGAGCCCCAATACAGGTAACCCACATTACCGGACCTCGCAGGAGCCAGAAGAATCGCAGATCATGGCTAGAGCATAACATCTCAGATTCGTGAATAGCGAAATGTAGAAACTAGAAACAAATTAAATATGAAATCGGGTGGGTGTAGGAGCGGGGAGGTGGGGAGGGAGGGAGGTCACTCACGGAATCCTGGATCTCGTCCTTGACGATGTAGAAGGGGTCCTGCGCGGGGGTCATGCTCTCATCGCCCGCCGGGGCAGATCTCGATCGGGAGCGGCTGGATCCGGGGAAGAAAGGGAGGGAGCGATGAGCTGATCTGAACCCTCCTCCTCCGCTCGCTCGCTCGCCCGGTTTGGTGGCACCGCCGAGGGAGAAGACGACCGGGGCAAACAAGTTATTTCTGGACCAATAAGTTGGTGGCCCACATTTATGGGCCGAGTGAGCTTACAGATTTGACAGGCTGGGCCTCAAAGTATGTATGGGATACCTGAATCGGTTTTGACGTTTATTGACCATATTTCCTTTTTCTTTTTCTTTTTCGGAGAAAAAATTGTCATCGTGGCTTCGGCGATAAAGACCGAATGCCGAGACTGAATGCAGAATCCTATGTGGCGACTACCCATACTGGGGAGTAACTTCGGCTAGTAACATGCATATGTTACTACCTTCATAGTGGGGAGTAATATATGTGTGGTGTCATGCAACACTTCGTTTATTAGTTTGTAACGTCATCTTCTTTTGGTACGTGTGATGTTACTTATAGTATGCGTATTAGCTATGTCACTCAATTCATCTCTTTCATCAGTAAATTATTGCCATATAAGCAAATCTACTGAGTTGGACCTTATATTATTGCTGAAGTTACTCCCGTTGTGAGTATTCTTAGCCGACTCGTCGGGCAAAGCGTCGGGTACCACTACAGCGGATGTCATCATGGGGGCATTGCATTGTGTGCCACTGGAGGAGAAGATGTCGACGACGGCCTCCCATTCTTCACAACGTGTGAAGCGTTCTAGTCTGATGAGTATGAGTTGAGATACGACGGTGACGACACCCAATACCTCTTTTCTCACTATAGTAAGTTTGCTGATGAGTAAATTGCACAGAAGTATCATAATTGGGGCATTGGAACCAGATTGATACCAAGATTAGTAATTTTTACGTGTCAGTACCAAGATTGGGGCGAGCCGTTGCAAAAAAGACTAAAAGTGCGTTTTATACGTATTGACAGAGAAACTGACCGGTTGGGCCCGCCCGTCAGGTGCCACGCTGGCCACTGCGCGCGTGCCCACGCACTGACTGCGCGCTGACTAGGACGAGGCTGGCTCGCACTATTTAGGTCTCGCTGGTGCGACCGGGCCAGACCCCGACCCCGCTCTGCCCTTTTCCTTCTCCTCGCACCCTCGCCGGCGGCTGCCTCCCCGCCCGCCCCGCCGCCCACCACACCACGCCGCCGTAGCCATGGATCAAACTGCTTAGACGCTGTCACCTCCCCCGCGGCTGCTCCTCTCTCGCGCCCTCCTCTCCCCCGCGGTTGTTGTGCCCTAGGCGACGATGGCCTCGGAGACTCCGGCAGGCGGCGATGGCCGGGGTGATGCGAGCGGCGGCGACCTCCCCTGCTTAGGCCTCGATGGCAGTGGCGGCTACTCCAGCTCAGAGTACAGTAGCGAGGACGAAGATTTTGTGGAGCCGGCATTGTCGATGGAGCAGAGGTTGTAGATGGCGCGAATTTGGGTGGCCAACCCTAGCACCGCCCATCACTGGACTCATGGCTTCGATGGTGTTCTGTAAGTGTTCCACTGTTCCATTCTTGCTAACTGAAATTGGGGATTAGGGTTAGGGTTTACTGCCTGCATGTTTAGCACTCTAATTGCTAGTCCTAAGTAGAGCAGACAAGTATAATGGATTACATGAGTCCTAACTAGAGCAGTATGTGTTACCTAACTAGAGTAGAGCAGAGCAGCATTAGTGGATTACATTGTTATTTCTTAGTCCAAATTGTCAGAGCAGCATTAGGTGTTACCTAGCTAGAGCAGAGCAGAGCAGAGAAGCATAGTGGATTAAATGAGTCCTAACTAGAGCAGAGCACCATTAGTGGACAATTCTGTTAACTACTTATCTGAAAATACAAAACATAAGTTTGCTGTGAGTTAAGTACCCACTCTGTAATTAGGGCTGCATTGAGATAGTTGTTTACATTGTTTGATTTTGTAGTAATTGTTTAGTTTATTCATATTGTAAGGGTAAATAAAAGCTTTGTTTATATGTTAACTTAAACAAAGCTTTGTTTATATGTTAACTTGTTTATATGTTAACTTAAACAAAGCTTTGTTTATATGTTAGCCTATCTGTTAAGTAAAATTGTTTATTAACCATTTTTGTATGTTATCTCATTTTGCAGTTTGTATGATGACATTTTGGATGTTAGGTTCCATTTTGATGCTTCAGAAATGTTTGAGCTGAAGCTCTGCAGTTCAGATGTAACATACCTGAATATGATTGCAGTGATGGAAACCCAAGGATTTAGTGAATATGATCTGCTGTTTCACATTGAGAATCCACATTTAGGGGAGAAAGGATTGGAGATGGTAGAGAGTAATGTTGAGTTGCAATTAGTAAAGAGGCAGGTTGAGGAGTGTAAGGTTATAAATTTGCTAGTGAGGGCATGTCCACCTCCTTGCAGCCAGTTTGAGAGGCAAGAATTATCCATTGTTGTGTATGAAGAGCCAGTGTTATATGATTTCAGTGAGCCACCCATATATGATGTTGATGAAGAACGAGTTGCCTTTGAAAGTCAGAGTAGCAGCTGCAGTGTAGCTCATGGTACTGGTGTTTGCACACAAGAGAGCAAGAATGTACAAGGAAAACTGAAAGTTGTTTTGGAAATAGAAGAAGAAGATGGATATGATGGCAGTGGTGGTTCTGATTGTGAAGGTGAAGATGACAGTGAGGTACCACCTTTTTATATGGGTGATGCTGATGACATAGAGATGGCTGAGGGAAAGAAACAGAGAGAGTATGATGAAATAGAAGAGGAAGAAACAGATGATGAAGAATCTTAGGAGGAAGAAGTGGTGCATTATGAGGGTGACACAGAGGTTGAGGAACCTTTTCAAACGGATGAAGATGACAAAGTTGTTTCACAGGATGAAGAAACTGTAATTTTACATGAAGAGAAGAAGAAGAAGAAGAAACAGAAGCTTCCAGTTAGGAAAGGGCCTACAACAAGGACACATTCAAATGTAGTTCAAGAGGAGGAACCTGATTTCAAACCTTCATCTGATGAAGAAGAGAAAGGATTGTTGAACGAGGCTGATGATGATGGTTTTGAGCCATTGTTATTTGTGCTGCCAAAGAAAAGGAAGAGCAGGGCAAAGCAGAGGCCTCCTAGAAAATGGTACAATGAAAAAATGGAGGGAGGCACCACATGAGCAATTATGTCTAAAGATGTGTTTCTTGGAGAGGTGCTGATGTTAGAAATAGTGGATGGGGGAGCTACTTCTATGCAAGTGGTAACTAGATACTTCATGTGTGTGTTCTTGTTGGGGAACGTAGCAGAAATTCAAAATTTTCCTACGCGTCACCAAGATTTATCTATGGAGAAACCAGCTACGAGTAGAAGGAGAGTGCATATACATACCCTTGTAGATCGCTAAGCGGAAGCGTTCAAGTGAATGGGGTTGATGGAGTCGTACTCGTCGTGATTCAAATCACCGATGATCAAGTGCCGAACGCACGGCACCTCCGCGTTCAACACACATACAGCCCGGTGACGTCTCCCAAGCCTTGATCCAGCAAGGAGAGAGGGAGAGGTTGAGGAAGACTCCATCCAGCAGCAGCACAACGGCGTGGTGGTGGTGGAGGAGCGTGGCAATCCTGCAGGGCTTCGCCAAGCACCGCGGGAGAGGAGGAGTACTTGTGAGAGGGGGAGGGCTGCGCCAGAACTTCGTCTTTAGCTCCCATGCGCCTCCCCACTATATATAGGGGTGGAGGGGCTGGTTTCTTGCCCTCCAAGTCCATTGGGGCGTTGGCCAAGGTGGGAGGAAAGAAATCTCATTATTTCCTTCCCCACCGATTGTTATCCCCCCTTTTTAGGGATCTTGATCTTATCCCTTCGGGATATGATCTTATTCCTTCTAAGGGGGGATCTTGGTGCGCCTTGACCAGGGGTGTGGGGCCTTGCCCCCACTACCCACGTCCATGTGGGTCCCCCCATGCAGGTGGGCCCCACTCCGGAACCTTCTAGAACCTTCCCGGTACAATACCGAAAAATCCCGAACATTTTCCGGTGGCCAAAATAGGACTTCCCATATATAAATCTTTACCTCCGGACCATTTCGGAACTCCTCTGACGTCCGGGATCTCATCCGAGACTCCGAACAACATTCGGTAACCACATACAAACTTCCTTTATAACCCTAGCGTCATCGAACCTTAAGTGTGTAGACCCTACGGGTTCGGGAGACATGTAGACATGACCGAGACGTTCTCCGGTCAATAACCAACAGCGGGATCTGGATACCCATGATGGCTCCCACATGTTCCACGATGATCTCGTCGGATGAACCACGATGTCAAGGACTTAATCAATCCCGTATTCAATTCCCTTTGTCTATCGGTATGTTACTTGCCCGAGATTCGATCGTCGGTATCCAATACCTTGTTCAATCTCGTTACTGGCAAGTCACTTTACTCGTTCCATAACACATCATCCCGTGATCAACTCCTTGGTCACATTGCGCATATGATGATGTCCTACCGAGTGGGCCCAGAGATACCTCTCTGTTTACACGGAGTGACAAATCCCAGTCTCGATCCGCATAAAACAATAGATACTTTCGGAGATACCTGTAGTGCACCTTTATAGTCACCCAGTTACGTTGTGACGTTTGATACACCCAAAGCACTCCTACGGTATCCAGGAGTTACACGCTCTCATGGTCAAAGGAAGAGATACTTGACATTGGCAAAGCTCTAGCAAACGAACTACACGATCTTTGTGCTAGGCTTAGGATTGGGTCTTGTCCATCACATCATTCTCCTAATGATGTGATCCCGTTATCAACGACATCCAATGTCCATAGCCAGGAAACCATGACTATCTGTTGATCACAACGAGCTAGTCAACTAGAGGCTCACTAGGGACATATTGTGGTCTATGTATTCACACGTGTATTACGATTTCCGGATAATACAGTTATAGCATGAATAAAAGACAATTATCATGAACAAGGAAA